TGTTGGGAAGGAGTTTATTTTTGGGACGTATTACAAAGGACAATCAAAAAAGAGTTCCCGTTAGACCCTCATGGGATCAGGTATTTGGCAATAGAGAATGAGGATGGATTACCTTTCGATTATATCATGATGACTCCTTGCACAGTATATGGCGCTCTAGAATGGCTGGATTTCATTGTGACCCAGACAAAAGACCAGCAAGAGAGTATTGAGTATTTCAAAGAAAGCATCTCAAGATTACTCGAGGTAGTAAGAACAGACGAATGTGTACCTTCATGGGTAGAAAGGGTAGAAGCCCTACTGACCATGAAGGAATTCTAGGACGTGATGTGTTATAGTAATGCTTGACGGGCTTAGTTATTTTTAAGTTTATTGTATTGTTCGTTGTGAATTGTAATATATTTATCTTAGCAACCCGTTTGTGAAGTTGAACCGGAAATAAAGAAAAAAAAAGCAGCTGTGGCGTAGTTGGTTAAAGCAGCACATCAAATGCTGGTGAGGTCGGTGGTTCAAGTCTCATTGCAGTCAGCGTTACTTTCTTTCTTTTTCTTTTTTGTTCACGCATGTATTGTTATAACATTTGTGCCTCCTCATCAGCCTGACTAGCTGCTGCTTCTGGTGGTCCCGTCCACAGACCCTTTAATATTGGATCTTTGATGACTCTCGCACGATAAAGCGTTTTGCGAATTAGTGCTCTTAATCGGCGTGACGCAAAAAGACACGAAAAACGCAAATGCAGCTGGCTACGTAGGTTTCTTCGGCACGGGTGTCAGGAATGTTCATTTCCACGGTTTATCAAAGTTTTGATGATAGAAAGGTTCAGTGCAACGTAGTCTCGGGCAACTTTTTTTATGTCGCTCAGTGTATTATCACCTGACGAGGTAACCGGCAGACCGCTTCAAAATACTGACGTGCCACCGCAATGTTCTAGGTGATCAGCACTTGATAAACAATGCCCAAGGGCAAGTGCCGACGGCGTTAGCCCATCTAACTACAAAACAGCTTGTCTGCCTTGCTGAATAACGTGCACGGCCTGTGACAGCACGGGAGCATTCACGTAGCAACGGATGAGAACGGCCGTACGTGTTCGCACTTGACAAAACAGCCGGCAATGCAGTAGCTCTGGCCTTCGGAAATCACAGGCTTCGTAAGAACACTACAATAAAGTTGTTTCCATTCATCGTATGAACACTTCGCCGACGCACTGGGGTTTCATGCATGTGCGTCCGGTCACGTGAACTGTGCGAAAGCATTTATTTCATCGTCGACCACGCCCTTCACGACAAGCAAAACTCGACAGCAAGAACACTTTCACCTTCGACAACACCACGCTTGGCATTGCAATCTAGAAAATGCAGTACGTCCAACAACTATAATCCGCACTTCATACTGAGAAACTTTGTGGCGCACAGATTCAGATGAAGCCGCGATGGACGGCCACGCTAGCTCCAACCACCAGGTTCAACTGGGCATCGAGCAATCACATGAAGCAGCGACGACACAGGGCCTCCGGTCCTCCTTGGGGGCGGCCTAGGCTATGGCCACGATTTCATCGGAGTTTTTCACCACCTACACACATCGCAGGCAGCTACCATCTCGGTCGCAATGTTTACTTTTCGCAGCCGCCGCGCCCATAGTGCCCCCTATATTTAAAGTTCTTGTAATATGTGTTTAGTTAACAAACCTAGGCTGATTGGCTCGTTAAACACCTGCTTAGTAAAAGTTTTGTAGGTTTAACGCATTACACATGAATGATTCACACATTTAACTAGCTTTAGGTAATAATTTTTAAATTGACGTCACTTCCATGCGGCGCAGGAGCCACTTCTGTGTGGGGATGGCTGCTGCGCCACGCGGTGCAGAAGACGCTGCCTTAATTCTACCCGCTTCAAGTCTATTTTGCCCGCGCTGTCCCTAAACCCCAGTGTTTTCAAAAACTCCGCGCCATCATCAAGAACTATAGGGTGAAGCCCTTTACAGAAGATTATCAGGTGTTCGGCAATTTCCTTCTCCTCTCCACACGTACTGCATACCGTGTCTACCCCTTCGTATTTGGCCCGATATGTCTTGGTTCGTAATACTCCCGTCCTGGCCTCAAACAGTAGAGAACTACCACGAGTGTTATTATAGATCCTCTTCCTGGCAGTTTCCTACTTAAATGTTCGATAGATCTCTAGTGCGGACTTCTTATTTATGCCGATTCTCCACATATCGGTCTCTGTTTCCTTTACCTTCTTCTTAACCGATCTTTCTTTTTGGTTTGGGCCCCTGCTCTTTTTCTAAGTACTTACCCGTCAATTTTCTGGTTCGCTTCTTCCATTTTGTATCAACAGTCCTCATGTACAAGTAGTTGAAAACCTTCCTAGCCCAACGCTCCTCCCCCATTGCTCTCGATTGCTTCTCAAATTTTATCTTGCTGCTAGCTTCCCTGGCCTCAAATGATGTCTATCTCATATCACCTTGTATTCCCTGATTTGGTGTATTCTCGTGAGCTCCTAAAGCGAGCCTACCTATTCCACACTGCTTAACTTCTAATCTTGCTTGAACTTCTGACCTCATGAGCAAAACCACATTGCCGAACGTCAGACCAAGAACCATGACCCCATTCCATATTCCTCTCAGAACATCATACCTATTGCAATTCCACAGTGCCCTATTTTTCATCACCGCTGCATTCCTGTTACTTTTAGTCGTCACATATATTTCGTGTTCCCTTAGGTATGCGGCCCCATTGCTTATCCATACGCCCAGGTATTTGTATTTATCTGATATCTCTAACCTGACCTCCTGTATCCTAAGCTCACTACCTTCATTGTCATTAAAAAAACAAGACTGCTGATTTTTCCTTACTGAATCTGAAATCTGACCTATCTCTCTCATGTCCATCAATCCCTGCAAATCTTCCTTGTTGTCGGCCACTAGCACTATATCATCTGTGTACATCAATGCTGGTAGTGCCTGTTCAGTGAGGTTTCCTTGTTTGACGAAAGAGAGGCTGAAGCAAAGTTCACTCCCCTCTAATTTGGCTTCTAATCCTTGTAGGTACATCATGAATAACAAGGGTGACAGAGGACACCCCTACCTAAGCCCCCACTTAATCTATGTGGGCTTGGACACCTGTTTTTCTCATTTTATAACTACCTTGTTACTTTTATAGATATTCCTTAAACGATTAGTGACTCCATCTTCCACACCTAGTGTGTCCAGTATTCCCCACAAGTCCTCTTGAACCACGCTATCGTACGCTCCCTTGATATCCAAAAATGCTGGCCACAGCGACCTGTGTTCCTTTTCTGCTATTGCGTTGCGCTGTGTCAGGGAGAACAGATTGTCTACCAACCTCCTGTGTTTTCGAAACCCATTCTGGAGTTCCCTCAGCAACCCTCAACCTCAATCCATGCCTGCAGTCTTTCCTTTATAATCTGCATCGCCAGCCTGTAGACCACTGATGTCACTGTTATAGGACGGTAGTTGTTTATGTCATCTTTCCCCTCTTCCTTTATAGATCATACTCATCCTGCTAAGTTTCCATTCCTCTGGGACTTCACCATAGATTATTGTTTTGCTCGCCGTCTCTCTCAAAGTCTGCTCAGACTTGGGTCCCGGTGCCTTTATCAGAGTAATTGGGATGCCATCCGGGCATGTTGATGTACAACTAGGAACTCTCTTCTCAGCCCTTTCCCACTCTCGATGTGAAAATGAAGCTAGTGCGCCACTTGATCTATACTTGTCTATTAAGGTGCATAGGGATCCTCTTTGTTGAAATTTTTCTGTCACCCTTGTTCTTATATATTCAATAGCTTCGTCCCATTCTAGCATAACACCTTGAGCTGTAGTTCTAAACCTCTGCTTTAGGCTTGTCTCAATTTTTAGGGAGGGAGTTTAGATGGTTCCAAAATTTTGCAGCTGCCTTTCTATCCTTTTTGTGTACTTCTGCCAGCCACTGAGCCCCCTTTCTTCTAATATTTTCATTGATCAGAAGGGATGCTTCCCTTCTACAACTTAGAAAGATATTCCATTTTCTTTTAACATCATCTGTCGGTTCACCCCGCTACTTAGCACGTCTGTGTTCCCTAGAGGCTTCCTGACTTTTGCTATGACTCTTTTAACTTCCTCATCCCACCAACTCTTGGGTTTGTGTCTCCTTTTCTGGGGTGACTTGTCATGTGCTTCAGCAAGCTCTAGCTCTAACAGTTCAATGAGATTCGTGTATGTCCACACTGTTTTATTATCCTCACCGATTACTTTCTCAGTTTGTTTAGTAGCTATTTCTATTTACCTTTCTGAATAAGAATTCCCCTGTAGTTGCTCATCTGGTTTCCTTCCGACTTTCATTGCTCTTCCAAAACTTAGCTTGATATGTTTATGATCACTACCCAGACTTCTGGAGCCACATTCATCTATGTGCATTCACCTGAGCCTGTCATACATGCCATGCGGCATCAGTGCGTAATCTATCGTAGACTGCAGCCTTCCTACCTCCCATGTCATTTGCCCTTCATACTTCTCAGTACTGTTGCAAATGATCATGTCTCCTAGTATAATTTTCTCGCACTCTCCTCCTAATTTCTCTATGTAATTTGTTTTAAACTCTACAATTGCTTAGTTTTTCTCTCTGGCCTTTGCTCCCGTCCCCAAGTACACCAAACCAAGGAGTGCCATCTTCGCAGCTACTTTCCCTTTTAGCCATAAATGTTCCATGCATCCATGCTTGACTCTTTGCCAACACATACTTCTATGTATAAATACCCATTTCCACCTCCCTTTTTACTGCCTTCTGTTCTATTGCAATATTCCCATACGTAATCCAGATTGCAAGGTGGTTGCTCCATGTCCCGAAGATGTGTCTCCACAACCCCATATACCATCAGCTCCTCCTGCCTTAACTGCTCGTCTATCTCTTCCCACTTCAACCTATTCCTGCCACCCTGTATGTTAATAGAACCTAAGTCTGATTTAGCTCGGCCCTTGTGCTTACGTCGATTTCTTCTTCCACGGACCCCCCGTGGCTTGAATATTGGTATTCCTGTTGGCTTCAGGGCTCTGGATCCCCCTAAAAAAGCCGTGGCTTGAGGACCTATTGTACTGCCAACCCTCCTGCCCGGCGCACCACTGTAATGAATGTCATCTTGTGCAAAGGAGCTAGCGCCGGGCTCGTACACGTCTTGGTTCACCTCCACTACGCTGTATCCAAGCTGCCCGCTCATACTCTTGATCATACAGTTGGCCTCCACTGCCCTCCTTTCAATCTCACGAGACTGCCCCCAGACCTCTTGAACTGAGCATATGGTCACATGCACACTCTCAGAGGCATCTCCGAGTTTACGCATCCCACCCTCTAACTGTCTTTGAAGGTTCTGAGTCTTTCCTTTGAGCACATCATTAAGGCCAGCATGAATAATGATGAGATTTTCCCCTGAATGTTGTCATCTACAACCTCCTGAGCTTTGGCTAGTGCATTCACCATGCACTTCCCTGACTGGGCCTCCACCCTCACTCTCCCATCTCCCTTCACTGTCATGGAGACGCCATACCTAACCCTGGCCAAGTTATAGTACCCCACCACTAGGACCCTTCTACGCTCCAATTGCTGGCTTTCTGTTTGCGATGGAGCCCCTGTTTGATTCACTTGTTTCTCTCTCTGCCATGTGTCCTGTGTTTCTGCCCTGCTCGTGGGCTGCCGCGCCACAGAGCTGTATGTTCGCGGAGCCTGCATGCTGTAATCAGACACGGCAGCCCCCTGACCTCCCTACTCACCTGTTCCTTCCCGCCTGTCACCTTTACTTCTACCCACGCCTTCTATCTCACACCGCTTGAGGCCGGGGCAAAGCGCCATTAGCTCTTTTACCCGCTGCTCGAGCTCGGTTCGTCTTTCCAGCTCTTTTTTAAGGCCGCCTTTCATTTGCTCTAATAGGCTGGCGGTAGCCTCCTCCAGCTCACGCGACGCTTCGAGCTGTTTTTGAAGTTCCATCATCTGCTCCCGTTCCACCCTCAGCTCCCCCTGCAGCCCCTCAATGCTACCCTCCATGCGCCGCATTGCCGCCTTCAGTGCCTCGCGCAGCCTGCACACGAAGCTCGCCTTCTCCGCGTCAGCCAAACTCGTGAAAGCTGGCTCGTCCAGGTAGCCAAATGCGTGCGGCGCAGCGCCCCCTGGCCGAGGTTGGGAGGCCTATATGTTGAAGAGTTGCAGGTGTTTATATAACCAGTTGTTCGCACTTGCGCAACGATGCCAACTGCAACATGCGTATTAGCAACACCAGAAGCTGATATGAAGCGCTGATGCTCGCGAGGATACTGGCCCTGGACACTGCTACATAAATCAACTTTAGCGCATGGCAACAAACCACAATTGACGTTCACCCGACGTTACGGCTGTATCAAAGGAGTACATATGTAATGTTCATAAAATTGGGTAGGCAGCACTGCAGCCACTACCGACGTTTCACGAAGAATTAGCGACTATTTGAAAAGTATATATAGTTTCGAAACCTGGCGTAGCTTTGTGATAAAATGCCTCATTGCCACGCAGAATGCTTGGGCTTGATTCCAGCTGAGACCCAAAATTTATTCTTTGCATTCGTCGGGTCGACGCTACCGATGTAGGGTATTTCTTAACGCTCGCGCGTTAAAATTTGCCCATGTGTGTTCTGGTTGTTCCTGGATAGATACTAATTAAATCACCCGTGGCACATAACCGCATACCAGCGGCACATACACGCCCGTGGGTATGTGCTACTGTCTGGCGGGAAGTGTTAGACGATGTACGCGGCGGGATTGCGACATTATTCATGTCTTGACCAGCGCGTCATATTCGTCAAACCATCTTAAACTCCCACGCTAATTTTGGTTCACGCCAAGTTAAGGGGGTGACCACGAGGACACCCAAACATAAGCGGCTAGATAGATAGACTGATAGATAGATACGCTCAAAGTTGCCGAAGTTCGCTATGACATGCTTCGTATTTAATATTATACGTATAAATATAGGAGAAGAGACAGCTAGTCGTTTATACAACAACGGAATTTGAGGGCATGATCAAGGCACACACTGAAACGCAGATGTAACCTCTAACAAAAATACCCCAGGAAAGTGAGCGGATGAGCGAAAGAAGTTCAGACCATGTTACTAACCGAGTTTTTAAATCCGGCATGTTGAAGTAGATCATTTGCATGCCATAATTTGTTCTTCATCGGGGTATAAACCAATTATTGTTGACCATGGCAGACATCCAAAGAAATCCGACGCAATTCAAAAGGTGGGAGCAAGCTTTGCGTCGCAAAGATAGAAGGCTCACTGCTAAACACAAAGTATATGACATTCAATTTGAGAGTGATGACATGGTATAACGCACTGCCGTTGCCGTCATGGTTTTCTAGACAAGAAGTTTTAATTGCACGCGACAACTGAGAGTTCACGCATGGTACCCTTCCGCGCTTGTTCCCAGCATTTCCACCTCATATATTGAAGCCAAATTTTTCATAACAAGAGAGCCAATCACGCCCCCCTCAAAAAAATAAAAATGCATGGTGCCTCTCAAATACCCGGTTCCCAGTTTGTAGGAACCACCAGAAATAGAACAGCAAGATGAAACGCACACGGCGAAGCGAACAACGCTCTCGATACTTTGAGAGTTGCATCACAGTGACATTCGATCAATTTTCAACTGTTGCGCTGCCTTTGAAGCAGTGGATATTGTTGCTTTAATATATATTTTCCTTATGAACCAACACAATCATATATAAGTGATCATCTTTTACTAGTGACCGTGTTTTGTTACATTTTCTTCATATTACAGCAGTAGATATTTTTCTCAACTTTATAGCAGGTAACGGGGTGTTGTACATGTCAGTGTCACTTCTTTCGGATGCAGTGTAGTCCACCTGTAAAACACTGTGAGTGTACCACATCCCTGAGTACGTTCGCAGAAAAGAGTACAGCATCTCTCACAAGTACCCCTGGGGCACCCGTGCCCAAGCTACACAGAAGTGCACTCACTCAGATGAGATGTTTTGGGAGTTGCATCACAGTGACATTCGATCAATTTTCAACTGTTGCGCTGCCTTTGAAGCAGTGGATATTGTTGCTTTAATATATATTTTCCTTATGAACCAACACAATCATATATAAGTGATCATCTTTTACTAGTGACCGTGTTTTGTTACATTTTCTTCATATTATAGCAGTAGATATTTTTCTCAACTTTATAGCAGGTAACGGGGTGTTGTACATGTCAGTGTCACTTCTTTCGGATGCAGTGTAGTCCACCTGTAACACACTGTGAGTGTACCACATCCCTGAGTACGTTCGCAGAAAAGAGTACAGCATCTCTCACAAGTACCCCTGGGGCACCCGTGCCCAAGCTACACAGAAGTGCACTCACTCAGATGAGATGTTTTCAAGAAGGCTGCTTACATCATCCTTTACGTGGTCTTCTTTCTACATTGAAATGAATTGAGAAAGCTATCTAGAGACATTTCCCGAAAACCCCATAGTTGATGACCTCTTTTGAATTGTACTTGAAAAAGTTAGAGCGGTTGCCACTGTATCTTTTGAGTTATACCACTCATGATGAGAACGTGATGGCTAAAGTAGTAATGTTCCATATTGTTATGAGAATATCCTTTCTTTTTTTTCTTTTTTTTCAATAAAACCGATCAGGCGCTTTCTAATAAGGCGTAAAATACGAGAAAGAAGGTGAAGTATCTGTAACCTTTTGCACTCTCTTCTCGATTGATAGCCATCGCGAAGACTTCTCTGGTGAAAAGTGCATAGCACGGGTAGTGTTTCTTCGAGAACGTCTTTTTTGTAACTAGTAGAACACATCATTGATTGATTGATTGATTGATTGATTTCTTTATTGATTGATTGATTGATTGATTGATTGATTGATTGATTGATTGATTGAAACTTTATTTTGGTCCTGAGAAGACGCAGAAGAGACCCCGCGCCACCCGGCTAATCCCACGTAGGGACCGTCAAGCCGAGCTTGGCGGCCCGTTCACGGGCACTCTGGACGGCCAGGGTTTGATCCTTAAGTTCGGGGCTGCGTAAGAGCGCAGCCCACCTGTCCTTTTTGAGGGCGGGGCCGATGGCTTCACATTCCCACAACACATGGTTGAATGTTGCTAACAGTCCACAAGCGGGGCAATCCGCGCTTGGATACCGTTCAGGGTAGATGGCATGAAGAACCGCAGGGTTAGGATACGCGCTGGCTTGCAATAGTCTAAGGGTGACTGTCTGCGTCCTGCACAAGGCAGGGTGTGGGAGAATGAATTTCCTTCTTGACAGATAGAAGTGCTTTGTTATTTCGTTGAACGTAAGTAAGGGTTCCCAGCGAGGCAGAGGGACTGTGGAGGCGGCGCGGTCAGTCAGTCCTCGCGCGTCCTCGTGTGCGCCTTCGTTCGGGTTAGAGGTAGAGCCCTCAATCGACCCCAGGTGAGCGGGAAACCAAGTGAGAGAATGGGGCGTGATACTCTTGACGTTTTGGAGAATGCGGAGGGCCTGAGGGGCTACCATCCCGGTTTCGTAGGCTTTCATAACCGCCTTGGAGTCGCTGTATATTGACTCTCAGCTACTATCTAGCATAGCCAGCGCAATTGCAACCTGTTCGGCTATCACGGGCCTCGATGTGCGTACCGTGGCGGAGCAAGTGAGCCTGGAATTTGAGTCGACGATGGATTCAGCGAATGCCTTTTGTTGGGCATATGGTGCAGCATCCACAAAGCTTGCATCAGTGGGGTTGCTATGGACGTGCTCGAGCAGAGCTCTACCCTTGGCCCTACGTCGACCGACGTTGTGCGCAGGGTGCATATTGCGGGGAATGGGTGCGATGCGCAGCTGAGACCTGATGTTACTGGGAATCTGCATGGAATCGGGGCACTGGTCAATAGAGTTGAGGCCCAAATCTTCGAGTATCTTGCGGCCCGATTTGGTTCCGGAAAGCCTGAGCAGCTGTGAGCGCTCGTGCGCCTCGATTATCTCTTCGAGTGTACTATGAACACCGAGCTTGAAAAGGTTTTCAGTGCGAGTGCTGACAGGTAAGCCGAGCGCGAGCTTGAAGACCTCTCTTATGAGGAAATTGAGCTTTCTCCTCTCTGCAACATGCGAATTATGCATGGCTACCAAGTACGAAAGGTGGCAGAGCACACACACATGTATGATGCGGATAAGATTGTCTTCCTTGAACCCCGGTGTCTGTTGGTGATCCTCCGGATGAGGCCGAGAGCACTTTCCGTCTTGGGAAATATCTGTCTGAGTGCAGCTCCGTTAGCGTCGTTGGACTCGATATACATTCCCAATATTCGGAGCGAATGCACTCTGGGCACTGGGGACTTGTCACCAGTGAATAGCCGTATTTCATTTTGAGACGCAGGTTTCAGGTCACGGTGGCCGCCGCCTCGGGGCCTTTTCTTGTAGAGCAGAAGTTCAGATTTCGATGGGGAGCACCTGAGACCGGTTGGACAGAAGAAACATTCGATCACGTCGATTGCGCGCTGCATGGCTTCCTCAGCTTGACCATCGTTCCCGCCGGTGCACCAGATGGTTATATCATCTGCGTAGATGGTATGATTGATTCCTTGAACCTTCGTGAGTTCCTTGGAGAGCCCGATCATCACGATGTGAAAGTGTTGGTGAAATAACTGAGCCCTGTGGCGTGCCGCGTGAACCGAGGTTGATCTCTCGTGAGAAGTACCCTTCGATCTTGAGGTTGGTAGTTCTCTGGCAAAGAAAGGATCTCACGAAGTCGTAGACCCTCTTCCCTAGCCCTAGGCTGGCAATAGACTCGAGAATGAATTCGTGAGAAACGTTGTTGAAAGCCTTCTCCAGGTCTAATCCAAGGATGGCTCTGTTATCTCCTGTGCTCCGGTCGATGATCTGATGCTTTATCAGCTTCATGGCATCCTGTGTCGAGAGGCCAGCTCTGAGACCAATCATATTGTGGATGTACATGTCATTAGTCGAGGTGCACCTTGAGTCCGTTAAGAAGGGCGTGCTCTGCGACCTTACCAACACAGGAAGTTAAGGAAATTGGTCTTAGATTATCTATTCCTGGTGCTTTAACAGGTTTCAGGATTAGAACTGTGTAGGCCGTCTTCCACAGTGCGGGGACCTCCCCACTGCGTCACACCTCATTAATCTTTTCCGTAAGGAATTCGATGGAGTTATCATCAAGGTTCTTGAACATCTTATTGGTTATGCCATCAGAGCCAGGGGCAGATTCGGCATTTAGGGAAAAGAGAGCCTTTCATATCTCGGCCACAGTGTAGTTCTGGTCCAACTGTGGCACGTCGCACCCCACGTAGTCCGGAAACTTTGTGGGTGGAGAGCTATCCGCGACTCCCAGATACTTGTCTATATAAGCTTGTTGACAACCAATTCGTCCGGGGTAGAGTCAGTAGCAAGATGGATGGCTCATGTGAGGGATCGCCTCTGGCTGCACCTGGTGCGGCCCTGATCGAGAAGGTGTTTGAGAAGACCCCAGCTCTTACCAGATCTGAGCTGACCCTCGATGCTCTCGCGGAGCTCATGCCATTGTTGTTTACACAGGGTTTTGCAGTGCTCCTCGATCGCCCTGTTAACCTCAGAAACCTTCTTGTGGAGCCTCCTGTTATGCATCTGTCTCTTCCACCTCGTGAGCAGGGCTTGCTTGGCTTCTAGTAGGTGGGCCATCCTGCTGTCCATGTTTTCAACATAGAGGTCAGTGACGACCTCCTTGGTCGCTGCCGTGGCGTCATCTCTGATTTCTTTGTACCAGCCTTCAGAGTCTGCCCCAGCCGTCGGTGCTTTTTCAGCTCTGACTTTGCGGAAAACTCCCCAGTCGACCACCTTAAATGTTTTCGTCCTAAAGCAGGAAATCGCAAAGGATACCTCACAGACGTAGCGGTCACTTCCGAGGTCTAGAGCCGTGTTGACCCACTGGACCCCACCTATATTTTTCATAAAAGAGAGGTCGGGGGTGGTATACCGGCATGTGGAGTTACCTCTCCTAGTGGGGAAATCCTTGCAGTGATAAGCGTCAAGTCGGCTTCTGTCGCAGTCTGCCATAGCTCGCGTCCCTTGGGGGTATCATACATGTATCCCCACACACTGTGTGGGGCGTTGAAATCCCCGACGACAAGGGGGTAACTACTGGCCATGCTCACAGCCCTTTTGAGGAGAGAGTTTGCTCTCACCCTGCGATAACTGGGACTCCAGTGTACGCTTAAATAAAAAGGCTATTTCTTCTAAGGCCCTTCTTGGGCGAGGTTATTATAGTTTCAGTCATTACGTACTCCATGCCATCGGCAACTGAACCGAGGTCACGCGATAGGTAATTATACCTTTTGCTGATAAGTATGGCAACTGCCCTACATCCTGAATGTGATGACGCTACTAGGTAACCCTGGAGTTTGATGGGGGTGCCAGACGCAACTTTCTGAACAGCGATTATTTGGGGCTTAACATCGAGAGTTGTTAAATATTGCTGTAGAATGGGCTTTTTGTGAGTAAACCCGTCACAGTTCCACTGCCAGATACTGAAGTTTTTGTCCACACTATCCATGTTTAGGTTAAGAGGATGGTTGAGCAGCTATAGCGGCCCGGAGGATCGCACCCTCAGTCGGTGGCTACATTGCGTTGTGCTGGGACCTGCAAAGGAGTCGGACCAGGGTCTCTCCTCGCATCGACCTCTTCTAACTTGCTTATGCGTTCACTCAGTGCTCCTAATCCCATTTTGGGGTGCGCCACGGGTTCTTGAATTTTCGTTAAGGTAGTCTGCACGTTGACGAAGGAATCCTTGAGTTCCGACAGTTTTACCGCCTCTACTTCTTGTATGTTCTCAACCGCTCGGCGCTTGGTTTCGCTAGACCTGTGAAGTGCCTCAGACGTATCCATGGCGACCGGGTCTGGGGCGGGCTGCGCCGAAGGTGGCGAGGACGCGAGCTTTCTAATCTCCGCAATCTCCGCAGTTAGCGTGCTCATTTCTTGCTTAAGCTGCGCGTTTTCTTTCCTCAGCTGCTCGTTAGCTCGTCGCATCTCGTCAAGCTCAGTCGCGTGGGGAAAACCGCGATTCGATTCGTCGCCTCTAGTAGATTCACGTCTTCCTCAGACTTTGTAGGCCCATGAGAGCATCGGCTTTTTGTTGTTAGAGGTGGTGGGCGTGTGGGAGCAGGACCTGGTCGGCCCCGACGCAACGTGCCCCGGCCTTGAGGTGGAGCGATGCTGAGAAGTGTAACTTCCCCGGGCACGTTCTGTCGACCTGGAGAGCGAGCCGGAACATCCCCTGGAGGCACTACGGCGCCTGGATCCGGAGCGGCCTCCCAAGCGTCCCCTGTAGCGGGGGCGTCCTCTGCGTTGAGCATCCGTGGTGTGTGACGAAGACTGGAACTCGTCCGCAGTGTCGAGGTGACGTTGCGGGGTCGGTGACGCAGCACCAGCCATTCTGGCACGCCTACTGCGACGACGACGCACAATGTACGGGATCTTGAACCTTTGAGCACAGTATTTGCTAGCCTTCAGATGCTGGTCACCACAGAGTTTGCACTTGGGAGTACACACATGTTGCTTGTCGGGGCTTGCAGCACCCCAGCCTCGGGAAATAGTGTCACCGGGAGTGGGGCACACGTCAGCGCGATGACCAAGATGGCCGCAAGCATAACGCACGTCGATTTGCTTGCGGTAGAGTGAGCACTGCATCAGCACCGGTCCATACATGACAAAGTTCAGTACACGATACCCGTCGAAAGCAATGATGACCATGCCAGTTTGGGCTATTCTCTTGGCTGCTATGGCAAGTGGATTAGTTGTGTTGACAATCTTTGCAACGATGACATCAGGGCCATCTTGAAACGGGACGTTGCGAATCAATCTTTTGCAAGTAGAGTGTGGGGCAGTCTCATAGGCACTTAGCTCGTGCACCTTGCCCGAAATGAGTATTTGCTTCATCCGAACGTATCGGCCTGCATTTTCGCGCTTGGGAGTACTGGCAACCATAATATTTTGCTGCAGATTCGGGCATGGAGTATTCTGGCACAAATCTTCCTGGCTTATGCCAGCGGCAACTAGTATTGCGTCTGCCACCGTAGCTGCGCCAATTTTCGAGATAATGAGTCTACCTCTCGGCCGGATCGCAATCTTGATGTCATCTTAACGAAGGAAGGGCATCTTTCCCGCCCGTATTACTTTGGACTTCAGCGCAACGCCACTCGATTTGCCACGGCGTGCACCCGGCTGCGATGATGGCGCGTTAGAGTCAGCAGTGCGTGTTTTAGCGCCAGCTCTTCTGTCCCCAGCGGAACGCCAACCTTTATGTTGAGTAAACCCTTCTCCTGAAATATCCTCTCCGTACACTTCATACTCCATCGTGAGCAAATGTTTCCGCGCAACGGGCCTCTGAAGGGCCGGCCGCAAGCGAGAACATGATTTGTGGGGTTTAACGTCCCAAAACCACCATATGATTATGAGAGACGCCGTAGTGGAGGGCTCCGTGAATTTCGACCACCTGGGGTTCTTTAACGTGCACCCAAATCTGAGTACACGGGCCTAAAACATTTCCACCTTCATCGGAAATGCAGCCGCCACAGCCGGGATTTGATCCCGCGACCTGCGGATCAGCAGCCGAGTACCTTAGCCACTAGACCACCGTGGCGGGGCACAAGCGAGAACAAGCCCAGCTAAAGCGCGGTCTCCCAAGAAACTTGTTAGGGTCAAAGAGGGCACCGCTCCACAGGAAAAGAAATTGTTCCTAACTTGACAAAAAATCACTCGGTGTGGTAAAATATAGTGTCGGTAAGATCCTGATGACTTTTCGGAACCGATACGAGAAACAGTTCATGAACACTTGAAGAAAAAACTCTAGAAACACAGATTTAGTTGCGCTACCACGGGAGCCGTACGAACGCAGCCTCCCATTCTGCGTCTCTTCCTCAGAACACATGAGTACTGTTTTTCTAGAGCATTTTTCTATTCCAGTAAGTAAACTTGTTTGAGGCTTTTACAGACGTTTTGGGCCATTTTTCGTCTAGGCAAGACGGCTCTAGTTAGAATGATAGCGATCGATCCTACGCTGAAAATGCTCATTCGTGTAGAAACTCCCATACTTTGAGGTTAAACGCAATGCAGACAGATCAAATATAGGCAGGACATTGATCCTCAGCCAACTTGATAGGGGAAAGCCTTACGGCCCCAATCTATACAGGCAGCCTTGTGCGTATCCACATAAGCAGTCCACAAATGCAAATGCAACGCGAGAATGTCGATTGGAAGCACGATGAATGGTTAAGTTTGATAATACTACAACAGGAAAGCCACCGCAAGCAATAATGCGGCGAACCACCGCTGTTGCTCCGATGCGCCGAGAGTAGAAAAAATCAGACTGCAGCAGGGCAGCGCCGCTAGTTCTCGCAACGGCTATTCGGCCCACCCTTCTCTGCTGGTGGAGATATGGAGTTTTGAAACTGAGGTTATTCTAGTAACGTTGATTCACACAAGCACACACACCGAGGCATTAAACACGCAAAAAGCTGTGTGTGTTTGATGCCTGTGTTTGTGTGCGTGAATGTGTCGTACGTGTGTTTGCACTCAAATTATTTTTTTTTTGAAAGACCATGCAGTGCCCTACTGTGCCCATAGGTTTGCGCAGGGTTCTCCTTCTGGGGTGGGCAAAAGTTTGTCGCAATGCACCCCCCCCTTTCCCCATTATGTCACTGTATGGGCCGACTTTGCATATTCCCCTCTCCAACATGCGCACGCCTATTCATGCGCCCCCAAGAAAAATGTAGCATATGACTACTACGTTCTATCAAGTGCTTTTTTTTAAATGACTACGCAGCTACTACATTGTAAAACTTCTTGCAAAACTCGAGTAGGCATATACCACACGGGATTGCATTAGTTTGTATGAGCGCGTGCATGCAAAATTGAAAACTTTCGGGGAAGGAGAGAGAGTACATAACCCCATCCCCCATCAAGGGGCTTTAAATTCCACCCCCCCCCCCCCTCATTTTGGCTACACCCCTTAATTACACGATGTAGAACACAGGCTAGAATGGTTCAACGATGCTGTGTACGCTTCAAATGAAAAGACCCGTTACGAAAACTTATGCATGATAATAATACACGTTCCGAAACTACAGCGACCCGAATAACAGCCACAAAATTCAGGCTTCTCTACTTACTCTTCGCAAAACCTTCGAATAAAGACCTCCAGTAACGTTGCATAAAAACTAAACCATTGTCACTATAATTGCTTCCTAATGCTTTATTTTACAAGAAAATTCTTTTATTTTTTCATGCGCGATCAATGATTGGCACGCACAGGGGGGGGGGGGGGGAAGGGGGGGAGTTTCACTGTAGCGTCACCCCCACCCGAAACGCTCTAAGTGCCAGTCAGTGCAGACACGAGAAGATCGGCTCATGCTTTCGAAAATGCTTTCGTGTGGAATCCACAAATTTTTCGCTAATTTCAGTCACATCGTGTGCCCAAGTTCTCAAGTAATTAGTAAATATCTGTGTTTTCCAAGGGGCTAGAAAAAATTATACACTGCCCTATGATGAATTTCTTGGATAAATTTTATGTCATAACTAACGCACAACCCAGATTTAGGAAAAACAGGTCAACAAAAACAGTTCTGACAATCAAAGAAACGATAATAAGGCGCTTAGAAAAAAAAAAAAGCATTAACACTGGTGTTATTTATAGAGTGTAGTTAGGCATTCGACTGCCTAAATTTATTAGACCAACTAGAATGCTATGGAGAGCGTGGTAACTGCTTATCACTTTTCAAGTCTTATTTAAAGGGGCCCTGAAACACTTTTTTGAGTAACCATGAAATTAATTGACTTGAAAAGTTTATTGCCTCACAGATTCTATGCCGCAAAAATTTTCAGAATTTGTCCAGTACGAGCGGAGCTACAAGGATTTGTCACACGCTGCAATCGCATTCTCTCTTCTCTCGTCCCGACGAAAGCGCTGGAAGCTAAGCAGGCAGGGATGGCAGAGGGCAAACGAAATGCGTCACGTGCGCCTTGTGACCTTGAGCACTTTTTTTTTTCTTTTTTTTCTTCGAATATGCGCCTTTTTCAGTGTGATCGCCCGCTCACGCGTGGACAAGTGACGGTTTCCCGCAGCGATCTCCGTAACGACCGAGCGCGCCATGTTCAAACCAGCCAATGGCTGATATATGGGCATTCAACAAGTGACTTCTGAGCATCTTTCGTCATTTGTCGAAGGAAAAGAAAGCAATTTCAGCTAACTTTGATCATTTATTGTGAATTGCAGGCCGCGTGCTGCGCTTTAACATTTGGCTCGCGTATTCTCGGAAGCCTCTACTACCGATCGGCAGTTGTTTCTGACCATGCTCAAAAAGTGTTGCAGGGCCCCTTTAAGTGATAGATACCAGTGTGTTATTTCAATGGTCACATGTCGTCTTATAAACAAATTTGGCGTTCCTCAGGGAAGTGTTTTAGGGCCACTTTGATATAATATCTACATTATTAACATTGTGAATATTGGTACTAATACTGAATTTATCATATGCGCTGATGACAGCACTGTCATATTATATGGGAACGACATGTGCAACTTTACAACTGATTGTAATGAATTGCTAAGAAAGTTATTTATCTGGTCTCAGCTGAATCAACTTAGGATCAATGCGAACAAAACTAAGGTAATTGCTTTTTGGCTAGAAGAATAAATTGCTTCAGTTGAGTAATACAATTGCTTTTGAAGGTCAAAAAATTGAAATTGTTGACCCACAAAATTCTTCGCATGCACTTTTCTTTCCAGCTCACTTGAAACAGGCATGTAAATTACCTATGTGAAAAGTTCTCTGTGACAAGTGTCGTAACATGATGCTGTTGCTTGCTGCCTAAAAATACTAAATTGCATGTCTACGATGTTTTATTTCATGCCCGATTAAATCATTGTTCTTTAGTATGGAGCACGGCTACTATACCTCACGTATGTAGAGTTCTGATGCTACAGAAAAAGATTATTCGCTATATTGGCTATATTTGCTATTCTAGCACTAATA